CTCTCTCAAAAACTATCTCTACCTCTCTCAAAAACTATCTCTACCTCTCTCCAAACTGTCTCCAAACTATCACTGACCGCAACTCTCCATCAAACACCCACATTTTGAATGGAGCCTGAGGGGTTTATATCGCTGTTGAAAAGCGCGGCAAAATCCGAACCACTTCCTGAATCAGTCACGTGGTACAGCCGGGCAGCGAGGCTTCGGACGTCATCATTTTCAGCTCCTCCCCTAAACGAAGCAAGCCTCGATACGCGCATCGCGGACACGCCCCCTCCCCTACTCGGCACACGCTTCGAAGCCTCGATACGTAACGTCACATCACTAACGATAACTAATATGTTTCAGGGGAGAAAGTAACCACGTAGATTGCGAGTATATGGTCAGTTTATCAAGCAATGTCGATTTGGAAATTTGCTCCTAGGTTTTTGTAGCTGCCAGCACTTGCTAACGGACCACCTAGCTATAATTAGCAGGCAGCTACATCTCATTCAGAGCACAGTAACGTTAGTCTGACACCAAGGACGCTGGCGTTCCAGGTACATATAGAGAATTCTGTGTCCTACCATCTCTAGAGTTTGTACTTAAAGTTCGAACTTGGCGTACATGGTGTTGAAAAACGCCCAAAATTAGCACTTGCTAGTAGCATTAGCGTGGTGGAGTGGAGTGGAGTGTGTGGAATCTGTTGAAAACAGTGGCGATGTCACATTTCGGTTTTAACAAATTGACAATGTCTTCAGTTCAGTATCTGAGACGGTTTATCAACGAGCGACTAACTGCAGCTGCTGAAGAAATAGTTGGAGCCTTTGAAAAAACTCTCCTCGACTACGAGGAAGAGATCGATCGTCAGTGCAGACTGCTGGATATCGTCTGGAAACCCCAAGTAAAGCTACACAGGACAGGTCTGTAAAACGGATGATTTTACTAAAGCTAACAGTTGAACCAAGATTACATATAAGTCAACATGGATAAGGACCGACGAGGCTGACAACCCTCTTAGTAACTGCTAGGGAACAGCTGGGCCTGCGCTGTCCTGTTACTACTCACTATGTTTAACCATACCAGTTGTTTTATTCAACAGGATGGTGTTAATTTCTGCCCATGTAGTGGTGTCTATTGTAAGATTTGAGTCCTATAGACTCTAGTTACTTTATCAGCTTTGGTTACTCCTCAAAACTTTGGTTCCCTTTAGTTACTTTTCAAAACTTTATTTTCCCTGTTTATAAATATTGCGGCTGTGTTGATGATTGTCTAGAACTACTGAGCTTTGGTTACTTTTAATACATTTATTTCCCTTGCTTATATATCTTACAACTGTAATGAAGTAGAATCTGCTTACTTTGAATGCTGTAACTTCTGTGTAGAGACAGGATGTCTGTATCTCCTTGTGACCAGACAGCCTGTTTACATTTTAGCAAAGGCCTGTTGGCCTGTTTTACACTCACACCTAGACCCACTTAGCATATTCCAAGATTCTGCTTTGTCTTAGGGGTCCCCTGCAGCGCCAGGGGGCTCACAACCTGAGATGACCACCTGGCCAGTTTAGCATACTTATTAGCATCACACATACAGGGGGCCTGCAACTCAGGCCACCCTTTGTTCGGGGGTCCATTGATCAAGACCAAGCTGCCAGCTGAGACACACACATACCTAGATTTACCATATTTCAACATGGAAGTGCGAGCTTCGGCTCACACCAAATGACCAATAGGATCACAAACTATTGAAGGTTGCACCCCTGGCCAGGGCGGAGCAGCCTAAGAAGATAAATGTGTTGTAAAACCTTAATTCAGGATTCAGAAGTTAGTTTTCCTGTGGGAGCTCTGTCTCTCTGAATCCAGCGCTGTAAGACTTAATCTGTGGTCAGACTTTCAGTAAACTTTGTTGATTTTAAGCAGCCTCGAGTAATGAACCATTTGTGTGAATACTGTGTCAAAGCTTCAACAAAGCCTCATTGGCCATCGCTACTCCTCTCCTCCCCTCTCCACCTTATTTCTCTTTCTCATTTTTTATACTACTTAGTAGTGATGTCCAGTTGACACCATGACACCTGTATCAAATCACTTCATCATTTGTATTGAGTATTGGTTCATTCATTCAAAGGTTCGGTTTAGTGCCGTCTGGTGGCGAAATAGTATGCAGCAGGACAATGTCTGAATTATGTGATGGGTATAACTAGGCTTTGTGTGAATGATGTGAAAACGTTTGTAAAGATTGATTGGTCAGTAGGTCGGGTCTATGAACATATGTAGTGTAGTATGTGGGAGAAGGTGTGCTCGAGGAAACTGAGGATGTGCTAGGATGGTAATATGTGCGTATGTAACTAGGACAGGGTGTGAATAAATACAAGGGATGGACAATCAATAATTTTTACTCCTAGCTGGAGAGAACCCACGCAAGTATGGGGAGAACATGCAAACTCCTCACAGAAAGGTCCCAAACTCTGAACCTTCTTGCTATGAGGTAACGGTGCTAACCATCCGTGCTGCCTACCAGCCGACATTGGGCGGGAAGCAGGGTCGACTTATTTCTGTATACCACTATTACATGTCCTAAGTCGTGTTCCTCTGAAACTGAACATTTTTGATGAACAGTCACCAGCCACATCGACATGTCCAGTGCTTGTTTTCGTTTTTTGCTTTTTTTTTGTTTTGTTGTTGTTGTCTCTTGATGCTTTTATTACTTTTCTCTCTCCTATATCCACTCACCCCAACCAGTCGAGGCAGAAGGCCACCCACCCAGAGCCGGGGTCTGTTGGAGGTTTCCTCTGTTAAAAGGAGTTTTTCCTGCCCAATGTGTCCTGCTGCTGCTAAAGGGGGATTTGTTGGGTTTTCATTATAATAATATAAGGTCTAGACTTTACTATATATAATGTCCTAAGATGATTGTTGATATACAAATAAAATTGAACTATATTGAAATTTAAATTTTTTTTTTTTTACTGTACTAATTTTGGTTGATATGAAAATGCCGCATTTGCTAATTTGTAAGTTTTGACTCAAGTATAAAAGGGAAGTTGCTGTTATCACATTTTTAAATTCATGCATCAGTGTGAAAATGATGACACATACTACAGGCTTTACAGCACTTTGATTTTTTTCTCTCATCACATCATTGACCTTTGTCCCTCCAGAGCTGCCTCAGCAACATGTCTGTAAGGAGGAGGCGGCTCTGGCTGACCAGCAGCTCTGTGACCAGGAGAGGAACTCCAGTCTGGACCAAGAGGACCCAGAGCCTCCAGAGATTAAAGAGGAACAGGAGGACATCTGTAGCAGTCAGGAGGGAGAGCAGCTTGGACTGAAGCAGGAGACCGATCCCTTTATGTTGACTCCTACTTATGAGGACAGTGACCACAGTGAACCAGAACCAGACAGTGACCAGCAGCTCCTCTCTCACAGCTCTCCTGTAGCTGAGAGCCAGGATCAGAGAGGAAACCAGCATGTAGACTCAGGATCAACCAGTCACAGTAGCAATGTGGACAACTCTCCCATGTTACAGACTGAGTCTGATCCTACCACAGGTAACAAGTCCCTCAAATGTGACACTTGTGGGAAAGAATTTAAGTCGCTATTAAACCGACATTTGAGAGTATCACAGGTGAGAAGCTGTATTCTTGTGAAACATGTGGGAAGAGTTTTGGTCGTAGTAGTGGAATCCACACAGGTGAGAAGCCATATGTTTGTAATGCCTGTGGGAAGAGTTTGACACAAAGAGGTAACTTGCAGACCCACATGAAAATTCACACAGATGAGAAGCCACATGTTCGCAACTCCTGTGGGAAAGGATTCTGTCAGAGCTCATTTAAGAATCCACACCAGTGAAAGGCCATTTCCTTGCAACACTCGTGGGAAAAGTTTTGCACACAGCAAAAGCTTGTGGGTCCACATGAGAATCCACACAGGTGAGAAGCCGCATGTTTGCAAAACATATGTCAGGAGTGTCACTTGTTGTGATACCTCATTGACTCGTGAAAATCCACACAGATGAGAAACCATGTTCTTGTAAAACATGTGGGAAGAGTTTCATACAAAAAGCTGACCTGGAATTCCACATAAAAATGCACACAAATGAGAAGCCGTATATTTGCAACACCTGTGGAAAAAGATTCAGGCGGTGCTCAAACTTGACTACTCATTTAAGAACCCACACGGTTTAAAGGCAATTTCCCTGCTGCACTTTTTTTTTTTTTTTTTTTTTTTTATAAACAAAGTAACACCTCAACAAAACAGTACCTAACATGGGAGACAAGACAAACAGACACATGTCATTACAAAAGGATATAGAGTGTTTTACAAGATTGTAGCATGTGAAGTGTGGGTATTTCCAACGTATTCAGTCTATGAAACGCAGGAAAAGGAGGGAAAATAAATAAAAAAAATTACCAATAATAATGATGCTAACAGTACTACTAATAAAGTCAGCTTGTTACATTTTTAGAGGTTGATGGGAATGTGCGTGGCCTCAGCCCCAGGTGTTTTGTTAAAGTTGAAATGTGTTAGAAATGGGTTCTATGTGAAAAACTGATAAACTATTCTTGTGAGTGGATGCCATTTTTTCTAATGTGATGTATTCTGTCAGAAGGTTGGTCCAGTGGTTTATGTCTAGTGTTTTTTTTTTTCTAGTTTTGAAAGATTGTTTTCTTGGCAATAGCTAGAGAAATGAGGAGTGGGTTTTTGTATGTAATTGGTAGGTAGGTATTTATATGATATTACTGAGTAAGCAAAGTGATGGAGAAGGAGGTATTCTGTAGCCCAAGTTGGTGGAGAGTTTCTCTGTCACTGATATCTAGAGGGAATGAACTGATTGGCAGGTCCAAGTAGCGTGAAAATAATTGCTGGTACAATCTAGAGTGTATTGTGAGCAGATGTCTGTGTCAGTGAAACCTAGTGATGGGTAGATGAGGCGTCATGAAGCGTTGCGACACATTGCCAAACTGTATTGATACTGTGTCGATACTGTGTCACTGAATACTGACACCTGCTGGACCTTAAAAATCCATACAGGCAACCTAGTTGACAGACTCAACTGACACTGATTTGATGACCTAGTATATACAATAATATAATTTAAGTCATTGTATTTTATATTGTATTATTTCATATCTTCATTTAAATTTAAAATTTCCTTGATATTTTTAGATACAGTCAAATAATGTGAACATGTATCATAACGTGAAAATCTAAATGAACGTGTTGTGAATGAGGATGCTTGTGGACTGGGATTTTTTTTTTACAAATTTTTATTCAAAAAAATAAGTTTTTCCAACGTTTTGAAATTGAGTCCGTTACGCTTTTTTGATACAGCTTCTCCAGCTATAGAAAACACCCGCTCACATGGCACAGATGAGGCTGGAGTGCAGAGAAATTGTAAGGCAAGTCGGAAGAGGTTTGGATAGATTGCCTTTTGGTTGTCCCAGTATCTCATAAGATCCTGGGACCTGGCAATATTGCCCTCTGCCAGGTATCTCTGCACCTCCTGGATGGTATCAGCTGTGGCACTTTTGGTCTGCCTGCCCACTTCGCTGTCGAGATCTTGCCAAAGGTTATCTAAAAAAAACAACAAATTGTCATTTTAGTACATGATCTCCAAACAACAAACAAATAATGCTGAATAACATGCCTGAAGTGGGTGCAGACAGCTGTTGTGAAGACGGTCCTGGCTGGGGCTCCTTTGTGCGTCCGATTACAGACGTACATTCTGACTGCAGTCTACTGATGGCCTCATTACAATTGGAGGAACTGCGGAACCTGAGTGATTTAAATCTGGGGTCTAGAAGTGGTGCTAGGGTCAACACACTTAATGACTCCAGATTGGAAGCAGTGTCTGTGATTCGACACTTCAGGTGATCATGTAGGTGTATGGCTGCCTGTGTGTGCAAGGGTGAGGCATTACGCTCTAGTGCAAGATAGAGCATTTTCATCATCGGGCTGACCTTTGACCCTGACACTCGCCTCTCTTCAGACAACTCCACTGTAGCTTGATGGAAAGGAGCAAGCACAAGAAGTGTTTCTCCTATGATGGTATACTCATCAGCTGTAAGTGGAGTCAAATCTGTTTTTAGAGAGGCCAGAGATACCCACACTGGTTCCCTCTCATCATGTAGCCTTGACAGCATTTCATATGTGCTGTTCCAGCGTGTTGGCACCTCCATTGATAAGTTTCAGGGTTGGTCGTCCCATCTGTTGCTGCACTTTAGCAAGCTTCTCCTTGGCTGTAGTGCTTGATCTGAAGTATGTGACAATGTGCCTAGCTTTGTGTCTGATGGATGTAAGTGTGGGGATCTGATCACATGATTTTCTAACTAATAAATTGAGACTATGTGCAATGCAAATCGAGTGCCGAATTTGGAGCTGTCTAGTGAATGCAATCATGTTTGGTGCTGCGTCGGTCACAATACACTTTACTTTATTGGTTATGGCCCAGTCCTCCATCATGCCCCTTTTGACTTGGGCCAAATTGTCAGCAGTGTGACTTTGTGGAAAGTATTGCACTCCCAACACAGATGTACACAACTGCAAATTCTCATTCATGTAGTGACAGGTAAGAGCCAAATAAGCCTCCATGTTCACAAATGTCCACGTCAGCTGTTATACTCACTACCACAGCTTGCTGTACTTCCATTTTCACTCGTTCCCGTTCCTCCTCATACTTTTTGGCCACCATTTGTTTGATGGTCTGAAACTGACACCAAGTCAAACCAAAAGCAAATCAATATATTTAAAATAAAGATTGAATAAATTGGATATATCAACTACTACTTTAGATAATTTCCACACAAACCTTTCTGGTTGGCAAAACATATGAGGGCTGAAGGACCTGAACCAGTTCCCTGAACCCTTCACTCTCCACAGTGCTGAGGGGCTGGCAGTCCTTCACAATGAAATTCAGCAGAGCCTCATCCAGCATCTGCTTCCTGGAAGCTTGATGGTTAAAAATTAAGTAAAGAATAAATAAATAGGAATTATCAATAAAGCAACTGAGTAAGTTGTAGAATGGCTGTAGACCTGAGTTTGTCCTGGTTGTATCTGGGACTTCATTCTCATGCCTGGCCCTATAATGCCTCAGCATTGAGGAGGTGGATTTATTTAAGTAGGAAAGTTCTGTCGAACAAATGCGACATTTAACCTGCAGAAAATAATATGAATAGTAAACTCAGAGTCACTTTGAAATGAATTTGAATTCAGATAGATCAAGTGGGAACTCTGAGAGGAACAGGATGAAACAACAAGGTAATTAAAACAAATACCTTACTTTCCAATATGAGATCAAAATGGTCCCACACGGCGGAAACCTTTCTTTTGGCTTGAGGCTGCTCCATAATTCTTGATGAATGTGA